GCCTCATTCATTAACTGTTAATTATTACTATTATTTGTAATTGTCTAAGCGAACCTATCTCTTCATAGTTGCGTCAAGACAACATCTGAAGAGAAGAGGAATGATAATTAAAAACTACAGAAAGAGGAACTTCGATCCGGGAGTGAGATCGTCCGTACATTCAACAAGCTAACCCCGCTTTCAAATTCAATTATCAAGATTAATTTATAAACGTATTTTCATTTTATTTACACGTGCAAACATGTTACTTTATGTCAGGTTTGATAACGATGTCATGACGACATCGAATTATTCTTTATGTTTAACAAAATTTAATTTGATTCGTAAATTAAGATATGGTGATAAAAAGACTATTTGTTTTTTTCTCGGAAGAAGAGCTTGGCCGAGTCGTTTCAACTCAGATTTATCTGTTTGATATTAAGGCGATTAGGGACAGCAGGCTGGTCATTGTAAATTAGTCAAAACTACGCTCTCAGCCATTTTCAGTTTTGTTAACTCTGATATCTAAGTTTTGTTTTCCGCTGACCGTATCAAGAAGGGTAAAATTGTTCATCAATTAATATGCATGCTTAAAACAAGCCACATGAACACCGGACCAAATTCGATTAAGTGACGCAAAGCAATAATATTTCTTTTTCGTACTGTTCTGAGGTTACATTTTTTAAAAGGAAACATTATCATTTAGGGAATGTTTTGTCGTTTGGTGTGTTTCAATGTTTTATCTTGCTTTAAGCATGATTTCTCCTTCATTACACGCTTATTAACGGGAAAGAGTACTTTGAATTCATATTTTGTGGGGAAAGGGAAATTAGTTTCGAATGACAGGAATATCACAAACAGGAAGACTTTAGTATTTTGAGGCTTACCTAGCCACGATTGGCCAATGGTATTGATAACAACAGGAAGCAAGCCATAACATTTTTTTGCGAACTCCTTACTTATTGTATTGAGCGCAATTGGTACACAAGCACAGTTCCAGCAGTCGCGGCAGTACACAAGTAGGATCGCTTTTGTAAGTTCTTCTCTCGTTGGAGTGGCGCCATTGCCCCGGCTTTTCGTCCTTCTTCGTAGCTGACCTTTCAGTCTCGATCCTCTCTTAATTTTCATTCCTTTGCTCCTTTTCTTGGATGTTTTCTTTTGTTGTTTTCTTGCTTTATATTTTAGCTATAGAACTATGGTTCGTACGACCTTTCTTCTTCCTTTTTGTTTTCGTTACTCACCCACTCAGATGCGGCTTGGCGACCATGCACTAATTTTCTTAACCCTTTACGTCCCAAAAGTGACAAACATCAATTTTCTCCTAAAAAAATCAATGCACAATCAAAAGTAAAAGTAGTGAGAATTAATGAAATAATCACCCATATGAGAAAATAATGCTTTGATCTTCTACCAAATTCCCTCAACTTATTTTTTATGGAAACAGTGCAAAGAGACCAGTTTCGAGAAGTATGTCGATATACTGGGGCTTAAAGGGTTAAACCGCCGCTCTCAATTAATGGTAGACTTCGGTTTTGTTTTAGTCACCAGCTCAAGCATTTATACCCTGCTTGCAGAGTCACTTCGATCTTTCCTAGATAAAGTCGGGAAAGAGGAATCGAGGAAAAAAAAAAACAGATCGAAGGAGAGTCTGTTCGCCGGGAAAAGCATTTATTAAAATGTGTTACAATAAAACTGTTTGCTGCTTAATTACTGTGACTTTCTTTTGTCACTTCAGTGGCGGATCCAGGATTTTTTTTTTTTAATAGGGGGTGCACTCGTCTCCTGCTCTACTTCAACACCAATAAACCACGTAGTCTTTTTTTTGGCAGAATACCAGTTGTATTAGACAACCGCAGGTCATCTCGGGGGGGGGGGTGCGCACCCCCTGCACCCTCCCCCTAGATCCGCCCCTGCACTCCTATACGTTTAAGAACAAGAATTTCGATTTTAAGTCCTTTTATTCTGCCTTCAGGCTACTTTTCATAGTCCCTGTCTGATCTTGCATCGGCTGAAGTGTAAAACAAGTAGCAAAAGTGATGGAAAAGTTACAAAAATATTGATTTTCTGTATTCTGTAGCCGCTGGACATAGAAGCCTGAGTGTATAAAACAGAACAAGTAGAATATGACATGGCATTCATTTATATGTACAAGGCTCTTTATAATACTTGAAAGTTAAAAAATTGTTATAATTATTATATATAGTAAAGGTCAACCTATGCTGAATCAATACTACCTAGAAGTAGGAAAAACAATGATTCACTGTACAAAATTGTCTAAAAAGATAGATTTTAAGAGACCTCTTGAAAGTAAATGTAGATTTGCTTATAAAATGTCAAAATTTGAGAAAAAAGTGAGAATGAAGCAAAGCTTCTATCAAAATATTTAGGCAGAGCAACGGACGTTCAAGTCTGCCATACCGTGTGGAGACCAACAACTACGTATTTCCTGCGCATCTTATCTCAAGTACCGTCTTCAGTAAGTCACCTTGCACATGCTTGCAAACACGTTCACTGGATGTGACGAGCCCAGCGATAGAGAAGGATACATTGCATAGGATTTGCAATTTCTGTACATTTTTTAATAGTTTGCCTTTTGCCTCTTGTGTCAAACTTGAGGAGAAGTACCTTTTTTAACTTATCAGCTTACTGTACATCACAAAAGACTGGAAGCTAAAAGGAAAAGTCTCACTCGTCTGTTTTCCAAAAAGACCGTTTTCTTTCAATTCGCCACAAGGGCCTACACTTCGTGAATGAAAAATTCACAATGGCTGGCACAGTATAACGGTCGATCATAATCACCACCACAAGGGGATGTTATCCCCCCTTTCTCGTTCGAACCGAAGCTGAGTGAGAAGCATCGTGAGATACTAGAACCTTTAGGACAGTCATCCTTTAGCACACAGAGTCAGTTAAGATATTAGTAGACGTTGCGTACCGCAGTGGAAATGATTGGGCAGATGTATCGTTCTGATAAGAGAAATCCTTCATTTCGCATTTTCTCGGAATGATTTTATTATTATTATTATTATTATTATTATTATTATTATTATTATTATTATTATTATTATTATTATTATTATTATTATTATTATATTTATTTATTTTTTATTTTTTTTATTTATCTTTTTTTTGCGGTCTCTTAAAAGTCATCAGCTTAAGTAAAAGGGACATGACATTCAACGTAGTGCGGTTCCAGGTTTTCCGGCGGACAGAGCACACTGAATGCACACTGGCATGAAGTCCAAACATACTGTTTGCACGCTTTTTTCGCTGATGCGAAGCACCCCTGAGAGTGTGTTGTTGAGGTATAAGACTTAGGGGATCAAATTTTAACCCAGTTTCCCATGCATTGATAGCTGTAATAGCGCAGTAAAATATCGTAGCATATATTGTTTTATAAAGTAACTAAATATAGTACGCACGTTCTGATTAGTTAAAAACCTATGATTTATTGTGCCGGTAAACTCATAGAAAAATGAAACAAACATCGAGAACGCGAATGTCCCGGACGTATGGCACGCAATAGTTTGGTTTTTCGTTCTATGAAATGCAACCAAGTTCGAAAGCTTTTGTTTTTACTGTTATAGTATGACATAGTTTAGTCAGAGCACTGAATTAAAGAGAGAAAAGTCCAACTTTGGGTTCATATTTTTTACTTCCGGCACATCAACGCTTTCGTTACGCTTATGTCTCAAAAACAGTCCAACAATGCACTTCGAAACAATACTGATCTAGTCTCACGCGCCATTTTGAAAAGGTGAACAAAATAAGTAATAAAACGTAACACCTGTGACAGATGATAAAATGGTTACAACAGGATAAGCAAAGAGTACGATGATATTGTAGGAAAGCTGAAAAACAAGCATCGATCACTTGAATATACTTTTTTTTTTTTTTGGTGAGTGGGGGGGGGTCTTTGTTGGGGGTTGTTCCGTTCGGGTCATTTCATCCTTTTCGGTTGGAAAGGGGGTTAAACGGGTTTTTAAAAAAAAAAAAAAAAAAACCCCCCCCCCCCCCCCAAAAAAAAAAAGGAAAGAAAAAGGAAGGGACAACTTTCCTATGGGTTTGATTAAAACCTGATACAAGAGTGATGTTACTCAGTTTTTATCGCAAAAGGACAAACAAAAACTACAGTATAAAATTAAAGTGTACTTTAATATTTTCCGATTGTAAACCTGGTCTGATGAATTAATCGTTAATATCTCCTTTGAAAGGAAATTAAAAATACATGTCAAACCTCTATTAAGCACCGGTCACCATCCATCAGGAAACACCCAGATGTCTCCTTACTAATTCGAGACTGACCGTATAATAGGTTTTTAAAAAAATATACGTAATATAATAAAAAATTGAACCTGCATTAAAAAATTTCAGAGATGGACCAGATAATATACAAGACATTCAATTGTTAACAACAGCGACGCGAACAATTATTTTATAATAATTAATTTAAAACTGCTTAATCACGAGCACTTTATTAGAGAAGTCTCTACGTGCGCTGTGGTTGTCAACCGGATCGGAACCATATCATCTAAGTGTTCTTTGACTATTATCTTGCTATTATCTCTATCATTTATGAGTGGTTGGAAGGAAAAGGACATACTTCTTGCCGTCATGTCAAAATGGCATTGTACTGTAATTCAAATATAGGTGAGCTTTTTAAAATAGAGGTGAAAATAAGCCAATTGGCAAGTTTACAGGGTGACTGCGTCCGCTTGAAAGAGGCCGCAACAACGGCTCAATAGAGGTCGAATTTACCGTAAATATTGAAAGCAAATTCCGGGAATTTCACAAGTAACCGGTTAACGGAGAGCCTCTTTATAGAGTTTTGATAGTAGTAAAATTTTTGAGCAGAGTTCTTCCGATTTGATTGAAACCGGCTAAAACAGGAATTGGCTTCTGATTGGCTGCAGTTGACACACTTATCTTCCATGGTCTCTATAAGTATCTCGTGATGTTTGTATTGCAAGGAAAGAAAAAAGGAGAGGAGAAGAATTACATCGTTGACCATTTTTTCCAACATGGCGCCTTGGGACCGTTGCAGGGTATGGCGAGGTTTAGTCTGGAGCCTGTTTGCCTTTTATGCTACATTTCTGTTGATTACTCCAGGTATGTCAACTTATGTTTAACTCTAATGGGGCGGGTTGAGAGCGAATAATATAAAATTGTAGTTTAAATGTGCTACGACTTTGACTCTTTCCAGCGATAGTCCTTTGTCACAGTGAATCACGGCAAGGAAAGTTGGATATGGCTTTAATACCAAAACTCTCAAATGATCTAATTTAGTAGAATGTTTTCACAACTATTACTTCTTTCATTCATGGCCGACAGGAAAATAGGCACCTTTTATGTTAAGAAGAGCTGTAAAATCTGATTATGGACCAGAAGCATTTCAAATATACCCGCGCACGATGCCATCCTGCGAGTAGAGCCTTTACTTTTACTTACTGCGATTTAGGGGTCTTCCACGAAAAGGGCTCTGTAATAATCATGTCAAGCTTGTTGGGCAGCCCAGGTACAGTAGACGTGTTATTTTAATAGCGTTTTAATGGTATATTCGTTTTTTCGGATTCTTTATCTAGGTGTAGGAGCCCTAAAGTTCCTCCAGGATCCTCCATTAGTCCAGGTATCTCTTGTCGGCTGGACTGTTGACTACAATTGCACAACAGATGACCCAAGTGCCACGGTGTCACTTTTATATTCTAGAAATTTTGGCATTTCTTATAGTGTGTTACAGGCCTCACCAAACAAACTTCTTTTGAGGAAACAAGTGTTCACCCTAGTAAACCTTATTCTTTCGGATGGAGGATACTATAAATGCAAGGCAACGGACCAGTCAGGTCAAACCATTCAATGGAACCGTGTTTCAGTGTTATTTTTACAAGCAGGTTTGTAAGAATATTCTGAGTAAATTGATACTCGTGAGTAGAAAATATGGTGAATACAAACCTTTGACAAGTGCGACATGACTAAGTTAAGTGCCAAAGTGATGTGTTGAATAAATGCAGCCTTACAGTAAAAGTATATTAGTTGTTTTAGCAACAGAAAGGGGAAAGTCAGTTGACGACGGCAAGAGCAAATCAAATAACTGGCTTGACCAATGGTAGAGCGGCAAATTGGGCACCGGAAGTCGAGTTTAGACCTTTTGCTAAATCAGCCTATTATTAATCAGACCCCTTACTAAGAGGCCAGCAAACATGAGCGCCACGTGCACTTGTCCTCAACTGTTCTACCAATATTTTATTTTGTAAAATAAACCTGTGCTTAGCAGATGCCTTGTGACAGTCCGATAGTTTGCCATTATTTCTTTTGGAATGCAAAGCGGGCTGAAGTGTGGGATACGAGAAACGTCCTAATAAAAGCTGTAAAATCCCATTTACAAAGATAATTTTAGATGCAAAATAAGTCAGAATAACCATTTTAATTCAGACTTTTTAACCGATTACTGTAGTAAATTATGCATAGTGACTACTTACTGAATGCTGCACGTAAAGTACATTTTCTTATGAACTTTTTTTGCAGCTCAGTTACCTAGGCATTTTGTTTTGAAACCAAACAAATCAATCGATGTGCTGCAAGGGCAGGGTGGAGAAGTCACATGTGAAACTGAGCGCCCTTCAGTTTCTACCCTGAAGTGGGAAAAGCAACAGGATGATCAATCATATGCAGCAGTCCCCAACAGCCAAGTTAACATCACTAAAGATTCAAACTATGTGAGAGCAACCCTGAAGATTACAAATGCCCAGTTTGCAGACGCTGGTACATATAAATGTACAGTGTCAGTTCCAACAAATAAATCAGATTACAGGCTGGCAACCGTTAGAGTCAAGGGTAGGTTTATTTTGAATTCTTACGTTACACTGGAATTCCAACAAATTTAAATTAATATTTATGATTCTTGCACCTCCCCTTGCGTCGTCCATTTCAATTTTCAAAGATAATTTAAACGCACGAAAGAAAAGTCAAATCTGGGGGGAGAAGGCTTTTGGACCTATTTGTAATCTGAATACATGTCATTGTGTTTCCGGAAGATTGGTCTCACAGCATCTAATCTCGGACCCAGATCTCTTGCCTGAGAAGCTGAAGGTGAGATCAGGTAACTGTTTCTCGAAGGTCTCGGTAATTTTTCGAGCCGGAAAGCTGTTTTTTGTTTGTTGTGTTTGCATTTAAGATCAAAGTTTCAATAATTTTGAAAATAATACAATAAAACTATCAGTTAATGAAGCAAAATTGACTGGTTTGTAGGCCAGGAGCTGTGCTACTATTCAACAGGTTTGGATTTCAAAATTTGCCTTCGGGCCCGAAAGTTTCTGTGACTTTCGAGAAACGGGCACGTGATTGCATGTCAGTAATGTGATTGGAGATGAATATTTTTTAACAGCGAGCTTGGATTTTAATGGCAATAGTATTAGCTTATAGATACCCCAACAGCGTGACTTCAGGTTGGGCCCACCTACCTCTCAGTCTTCTATCGATCAAAAACTTTTGAATACGCCCCCTTTGCAGGTCAAGGAAGTCTTCCCGTGATCGCCTAAATAGGAGATTGTGTCGAACGGGACGAAGATATACATACACTAGAAAATCATGCCGTAAATTTATCATGTAAATTTA